GGTAATATCTTTAGTACACATATGTATGTACATTATCTATTTGCATGTTGCAATTCTCGCAGAGCATTTGCGGCCTTCAGCTTAAGCTTGGAGCACACGAAACTCAAGTTGATCAAAACAGACAAAAAGTCACAAATTTCACTTTCTTGTCTGCGAGTTTGTTTACAGCTTTTGTCTAGCAACAAATTCCAAAAAACAATTCGCAGTGAGCTGCACTTGACTTATGGCAAGACCCCCAAATGAATGCAACTCTGCCACCTTGAGATGCCACACACACACACACACACAAAAAAACATCATAATCTTTCAGCAAGTTGCCGTCGTATTTGTTGTGGAGAAATGCTTCAAGCCGCCAGCTATAAACTGTCATACGTTTGAATGAGGCCCAACTGCCGCCCCCTCACTTGTTTACTCTTCTTTAGCACGTATCTCGCTGTGCGGCATTAAATCAACACCTTTTGAATATGCAACTGCAACAGCACAGCGCACATAAAGCAACCTCCTGCCTGCTGCCTGCCACAAGGCTGTCGTCTCTTTAGAAATGATATATGAGCAGTTGCCTCCGGCGAAGGCGAGTTGTGCAACTAGTTGCAGCCTGCTCAGTGGACCTTTATCCGATCTGCTGCACTGTGGGCAGTCGTTGGTGTTTGGCCTCGTCTAATTAGTTGGGAGGCAAACAATTAACGAGGCTAGTGCAAATCTTTCAATGGACTCAATCAATTATTTAGACTCGCGCGTGGAAATGCGTTTAATACAATAACAAAACGAAATACAAACCAAATAAATCTTTCAATCGTATTTGCGAATCTTAAAATCCCAAACAAATCACAGACAGACATATGGAAGTTTGCGGCCCGCCCGCAACGTTTCTAAATGAACTTTCATTTGTGCCATATGCTGTTATAAATATAAAAAGAAAAAAATGAAAAAAAAAAATCATATGAATATTTATAGCTCGTGCAGCTGCGGAGAGAATGCACTGGACTTGTAAACAGAACCAAAAAAAAACACATAAATCGCATTTAATATTCCAACCCAAGAACTCTTTCATTTCTACATATACCACATTGAATGATATTTGTGTACATTTATTTCAACACGTTTCCCCCTATATGATTCTTGCACAATTTCCACATTTTCACGCCTGATTAGCTGAGCGTGTTGAAAATGTTGATGGCTTGAATATGCCCCGAACTGCTACGAAAGTGTCGATTGATTATGTGGCACACGCCTTGGAAATCTTTTACATATCGTTTTGGTGACTGTTCAACGCAGGTTGAGGGCAGTCGGTGGGGCGTGTCAACAATCGCTTGTTGATCATTATACTCTTGCCGAGAGTATTACAATTTAATCATGAAACTTGAAAAATCAGCTCCGACCACATAAAGTATATATTCGCGATCAGTATCAACACTCGAGTCGATATAAACATGCCCGTCTGCCTATTTCTATGAACTTTTCATAGCTATCGGTATGAAAGTATCATAAGCTAAACGAATCGACCGGATCAGGCCACCATATCATATAGCTGCCATAGGTGGGATCGTTCTTATGTTTTCAGATATGAACTAAATCTTATTAACATCGAATCATATCAGATCTAGACTAAGGATCGGCCAAAAATAGATTTCTTATATGGCACGTTTTATGTTTCTGTTCAGATACCTTTTTATACTCCGCAAATTTGAGCTTTATAATTATTTTCACATATTCGCAAAACCATGAACCAAAAAAAAAGTGTATTTAATCTTCGTTCTTCCTATTTTTTTCATTTTACCTTAAGGGTGTGTCGTAAATTCCCTTCTTTATCTGTGACATGAGTGAAATTCAGGAATGTGTTATGGAATGGGGAAAATAGAGTAGAAATAGCCGTGGTGTATTTATTAAACTGTATTACATTAATGTCTATTCTCTGACTTTGAGAACTTGAGACTTTGCACAATACAAAATACAATGGAAAGAACTCGTAGTTTTTCCAAATTCAGAATTTTCTTTTCTATATTTATGTTTTTCTATACTATATAAAAGTTTATCAATAAGATATAGAAAATTTTCACTTTATGATTGTTTTTACTATCGAATTTCAAGAAGTAATATATACCTTAACTATATTTTTGATTAACGCCTTGATCTTGCAATTGCTGCTTTAAATAATGGTATTGTACGAGGCTAAAGCAACCTTGCTCGACTGAAGGCAATTGACTTGAACTTCGCGTCAGATCGCGCATCAATCATGGCAAAATATTAGCGGGAAGAGTAATTCAATTATATTCTCAGGGCTGTGTGGCCACAAACGCAATCTCTGGGGGCTACAGTGTGGTTGGCTATTGCGTAGTTTGCATGACAGGCGGCGCCACGCCCACATTCCAAGTGTTTTTTTTTTTCGATTTGAAATCATATTAACCCACATTCGGTTAGCATTTTAAAGCATTTACACATGCCCAGATGGATGTGCGTGTCCCCCTTGGAGCTGTTTCCAGCGATGCATTCAAGTGCATCCAAGCGCATTGGCAGCACACGCCTCCACCAGCTCCGCGGCCGGAATCAATCAGACTGATTGAAATGCAGCACTCCAGTGTGGCAAACAATTCAATTTAGCAACAACAATAATCTGCGATTAAATGTGCAGTCAAAGAGATTACCGACCACAAAGGCTGACCGCGCCCAACTCAATACCCACAACAGCATCCGCCTCGAAGCCAAGCTATTTGCAATTTTCTCGTTCGCTGTGCTCCATTTTGCATTTGCTCGTGTGGGTACAAAAGCTAGCTACCAGGTGGCTGGTTTCATGCCCACCCCTACCACATTTTCTATGTCAATCAGAATCATCATCTTCTTCACTTGACACACAAAAGGCGCTTGAAGTGCTCCATGTAGCAGCTGAATCTGAGTTGTTTGAATTTATTCATGCTGCTGCTGATGATCATTGTGGGTTAATAAAATCTCAGCTCACTACATTTCGTCACGTGGATGCCATATATATATTATTTGACCCATTGTCCAAGCTGTGACACGTGCCTAATGGACAACAAGTATTGAGTAACCACCACAACAGCTCTGATGTAAGCCACACAACAGTGGATCTTTGTACCGATTTGATTGCCTAGTAAAATGGAAATAGATCTGTGTAAGGTAGAGCCACACATACGGTTTCAATTACTTTGTTGTCAAGGTTTTGTGTAGTACTTATTAATTTACTTTTAAAACCTTAAACCTTTAAAGTAAACTCAGTTGATTTCCTTATATTTTACAACTTGAGAATCTCCGAGAGAGGCGCAAATTGCCAATATATGAATAATTTATTTGGCAGTTGAAGTGTTCACTGAAGTGTCATTAATTTAAGTGCTTGATCGTTAAAAACAACAACAACAACAAAAGTAAACAATTGCGTTTTGATGAACACTAGCTGCCAGCAACTATTTTTATTGTTGTTTGTTCATCTATTTATAAATCGTTCACAGGAGAGCATCTTTGCAGTCTGTTTCCCTTATTAGTTGCTTGAGATAAGCACTTATTCCCTTAGTTGAACTTAACTTTTCTGCTATACCCTGTGGTCATTGAAGATGGGTAAAGGAGGTCTAATGGTCTTATATATTTGTATGCTATGGATATCTCTATGTATACGCGAAGTCCTTGACTTTAATTTTGTATTATATTTATATTCAGTAATTGTAATAGGAGAACCTACATTAGAAAGTTTCAAGTCTCTTGATCGAAACGAAGGTCAAGCCTTGTACTAGCTAAAGGCACAGTATTGTATGCCAAACACGAATATGTCATTAGAATCAGAGAATAGAGTGCATACGGGGTATCTACTAGCCGTCCCTTCGGACTAGAACACTCTAGTGCTTGTGGCTTATGTTTTCGTTTAAAGTAACTATTTTGCTTATGCAACTGAATGTCAAGCAGAGAACTTTTAAGATAAGCGTTTAAACAAGCACAATCGCAGTCACAGCTCATACAGAAAATTTGTAGGAATCTCATAATTGCGACGCAGCGAGTGGGGCACAAGCAAAGCATGTAATGCAGCCAGCTTAAATTTCGATTTAAATAGTTTGTAATCTATTCAATCCAGCTTTATTTAGCAGATGCATTGACAGACTGGCCTGCGATATTATATTTCAACTAAGAACCTGAGAAAGAACAATTATTATTGGATTGCTGATGATTTGCTATTCCTACCGAACTGTCAACAAATGTGCAAAGTATCCATTGATCTTCCATTGCTATACAGTAGCTAGCTTTATCATATAGAATTTCCATATCGCTAAAAAACTTGGCAATATTCGATTCTTTCCATATGTTGAAGTAGTATAGTAAATATATTATGCATATTATACAATTATCTATCTAATGTAGCTTGTAATTGGTTAGATAAGAATCCTGTCTATAAGAAAAACTACCTTTTCCAAAATTCATCAGAAAAGTTAAATAGAAGAGACAAGCGGAGTGAGAGGAGCCACAGTTCTAGCTCTAATATACACACAACTAGCTTTAGTTGATGTCTTCTTTATGCGTTACATTTTTCATGATTAAGTTATGAGATGCACTGTGAGGGCATAATAAATTTAGAAAATGACATTTAATGTGTGCCAGTTGGCAACTGTAGCAGCAAGAAGAAGCCGAAGACCAACAACTGTCAGTTCATTAATCATATGAAGCTCTCAGAAGCTGCGTCATTTGAAACTGGAAGCCACAAACGCTCTGCTCTCCCTCCTCCCATCTGCCCGACTCTGTGCATTCGAAATGAGCGCGAGTTGAAAGCCCATTCAAGTTTTGCCTACTCACAAGGGGCAGATGCCCCTGTATTCTGCTCGGCATCTGGGCAGCTGTTGTCTGGTCGCAATCCTTCCCTGTGCTTGTGTGCATGCCCCGCGGCCGCTAAATGCACATCCTGTCATTAGCAGGAGCCGCACTCTAGACGACGCCTCATTTAATGGCATAATTTATTGATAATTAAATTTGAAATTCTTTCGCTCTGTTTTTCTGGTACGCTTCAGGCTGGGACTCCCACAACAATTGACGCCGATGAAGTGAATGCACTGCAACTGGAGGCGGTAAATCCCCCGCACCGCAATTGCAATTAAGACACAGCTCTAATTGGAGAGTTCAGAAGCAGAGCCACAGCCAGCAGCATCTCGACAAGATGCCGTCGTTGCGGCAAAAGGTCACCACGTACTTTCGACAATTGAGTTTCATAGCGGAGCCGCGCGATGGCCGGAGGCGCGTCAACGGCAACGCGGACGAGGACGATGGCAGTTTTATAACCAAATATCTAGAGGGGTAAGTGACCTTTGACCTCAATTAAGTAAAGCAACTAACAGTTTTGTATATATTTTACAGTCGCATGGAGCGTGAGTTTATGCCCGGCGGACCGGAAATCTATAATGGCCAGAATCCCACAGATATGCCCGTGCTGAAACTGGGCTGCTACGCCACCGGCCCGGACACCATCACTGCCGCCTGCACTGGTCCAGACGAGGGCCTGACAGGCATCAAACGCTCCAAGTTGCATTTAAGTGCCAGCTATGCGGATGACATTGACTTCATCGACACACAGCAGGAGAACGAGGATGCGTATGGCGTGCGCAAGAGTACGCCAGCAGCGCCCGCGCTTAGCTCATCGACGCGGCTGAGCAACAAGTTTGCAAGGCCGACGGGCTCCCGGCGCCAGAGCAATGCTGACCAGACCACAACAGGAACGGCAGCTACTGGAGCAACAGCGGCTGCAGGCATGCGATCCAGGAAAAACTCCAAAAGCAGCTTATCCGCCGTGTCGGCTGCAGCTAACGAGAGCGGCGGCAAGGCCACCACCATAGTGGTCAGCATGGTCAGCAGCAGCAATAGTCCTGCCCAGGATCAGAATAACAAGAATCTTCTAAATGCTAAGACTGAGGCCGCCACGGCTGCCGGACACGGCAACTCGGAGCGCGAACGGCTGCTCCGCGAAGCGGTCAGCAATCAGAATGTCGCACCCAACCCCATCGCTCACTCCACGCCGGTGGCCGGCGTCGAGAACTGGCAAATGGATTGCGACTTTGCCTACGGCATTTCAGTGTCGCTTTACGAGAACAATATGCTGACCAAGGAACCGATGGGCAATCCCATTGCCGACTGCTATGGCTGCGTTGTGCGTGGCGATGCCGCGGCCATGGCCATGGCCGATGGCGTCAACTGGGGTGAGTCTGCTAATCTTACGCTGCGTGAAGAGCTTGACACCGACATTTCAATTTCTTAATTTGAGTTACTGGCCGGGATATTAAAACCATTCTCGCTTGGCTTTTCTTTGTTTCTTAAATAAAAAGTACTGTAAAAAGAATGACTCTTTATAGTCCTACTACTTAACCTCAGCTTTCATCCAATTCAGTTTCAGTAAAAAAATGATCTGAACTGAATTTACCCGAGACAAGAGTTCCCCCTCCTTCTTGATCACTTAACCTAGCGTCCTTATTAATCTAATTGCATTTATGGTCTTAAGACATCATTTGGGTTGCATCCCAGCTGTGGCGTCTTTACTTACTGATTGTTGAATACTCTTCCTTTCATTGTATGCGCAGGTGATGGAGCTCGGTTGGCCGCGAGATCCGCCGTGCATGGCTGCCTGGACTATCTGGATCGTGCGGTGTTTGGGCAAGCGCACGAGTGCCGGGCCACGACCACACAGGAACTGTTTGTAAGCCTGTTGCGCAGCCTGTGGGAGGGACACGGCTGCATATTGGAGGTGGGTGGAGCCCTGTCCACGCTGACAATTGCTGTGGTGCTGCCGCTGGACGGTGCACCTGGCAAATATGTGGTGTGCGCCTGCAACGTGGGTGACTCTTTGGGCTATGTGTACTCCAAGAAGCACGGCGTGCGCGAATTGACGCAAGCCTCCCATGATATTAGCTCCATGCGAGACATGCGTGACGCGTTGGGAGCTCTGGGACCAGCCGATGGCAACAAGCCAGAGCTAAGCAATCTCACATTCTCCATGAGCTGTATCGAGCGTGGCGACATTGTGTTTCTCACCTCCGACGGCATCAGCGACAACTTTGATCCAGTCGTTGGCAAGTTCGCCGAGGCCTGGACCCCGGACGTAAAGCTACAGCATTTGCAGTCAGCGAAACTGGCGCCCAAGCGCCAGAACAAAAGCGCATCAGCGATCTACGCCCGCTTGCATCCACAATCGGCCACGCCGCCCAGTCGAACACGCCAGCCAAAAGCTGGCAGCCCACCCAGCAATATGCCCAGTCGGCCCAAATATATGCGCTCCCAGACGCTGATCGAAGCGCGTCATGGTGTTGGCGCCGGCACACCTGTTGTACCAACGCCACCAATTCAGCGCATTCCCAAATCGGTGTTAGGCCTTCCGCTTGTTACTGGACCACAGCGTCATGCCCTGACGCTCTATCGTCTGGAGGATCTACTTAGTTATGGCATCAACGGAACTTTCTCACCTTGCGCCTCGGCGCGGCGACTGTGCCATCTGTTGATAGACTTTGTGCGTATGATCACCTCGGCACGTCGCAAGACCCTCGAGCAGCGTGAGCTCTTCTACAAGCTGTCCACAGGTCCGGATGGGGTCAAGCGAGAGGTGCAGCTGAATCGCATGCAACACAGAGCTGCCCGCAAACGCGTCGTCGACAGCAGTGCCTTTGGTGCGTTGCCTGGAAAACTGGATCATGCCACTGTGCTCGCCTACACCGTTGGTGGCGCAGCTTCAGATGCATCGGATGCGGATGAAGCTGATAGTGGTGATGGTGATGGAGGCGGTGGTGGCGGCAACGGGAACGCGGCGCCAGTGCTGCAGTCCAAGGAGTTTAAGGAGACAACATTCTAAGCTGCCCACACTCACACAAACACGTATTCAGCATATATAAATATACATAACCCATAAAAAACGTAGTCTTATGCAAACATATATTATTTACTTGGTATTCATGAAGCTTTCGTTTAAGTTGTTGATTTTATTTTTCGAGTTTGTCAGCCATAGGATTTAGCCATTTTTGAAATGCACACGTGTAATGCAAACGCAAAACGACAAATTGCCTCAAATGTTTTAAACTATCTCTAAAAAAAACAGAATAATACACAAATGCAGCAATGTAAATCATATTTTTACACCTTCATACATTAAAATATGCAACGTTTTAACGCAGAAACTTATCGTGAATTTGTAAAGATTAACAAATTGTAACAAAGGAAACCATTTTTAGCCCAAATACAAATACACGATAGGCCGCTGCGCATAAAGATCGTTACGCACAGCTTGAATGCGATAGGGGCTGTGCAAAAAACGGGCCTGAAGCAATCGTAAATGGAATAAACGAAATAAAAAAAAAAACAAATATTTTTGTTTTGCCTGTATACAAAACTGTCTGATCATTGATAGCTAGCACAAACTAAGTTTCATTTAAATTCTTAAGGTCATAACTCAGTCAAAAGCAATTCGCAAGTAGGTTGTCTGTATAAATATTTAAGTCTTAATTCAGCCATTTGATTGCACAACAAATTTGAAGTCGTTTCAGCGACAAATCACCAATTTCCGCCTTATGAATAGTTAATCTCAATGAGTGGCAGCTATCGCTGGCAGCTATTTCAACTGTCGCGCATGCGTATTAGCAGCTTGGCAATTGTTTGGGCACGCGACGGTGACGAATCCTTGACTAACTTATAGAAATGCTCCACGCTGCACAGCATTTGTGGCTGAAAGACAATAAACACATATTAATATGGATACTTTAATTTCGATTGGTTGTTGTACACGCACAATAGTTTCGCTGTCCAGCTGCGCCTGTGCTTTGTTAGCGAGTAGCCACAGCTTTACTGCCAGTTGGCAGAGCGGTTCCCTTTCTAGATCTGCATAGCGAACTATGCGCATAAAAAGCTCCATGGCTAGCTGTGCTTGGGTGCGCTGCTGATGGGCTGCGCCCAGAGACTTCAGCTGCATTAGAATGGAATCCACAACCTGTGCACACAAATTATTCACCTCTACCAGGAATTTGGGATCGTGACCATAGAGCCCATCATTGGAAACCACTATAAGAAAGTCAATTATTTAAAATATTGAGGTAAGTTGAACCTCCGGTTTTTACCGCCGTCGATGTGATAGGGAAATCGCTCCAGGCTTTGCACATAGAGCATGTCCAGAACATGCAGGTATATGATAGCTGGCGCTGTACTATACGTCTTAAATGATCGCCTGCCCACGATATCAAGCAACAGTCGCAAAAAGTATAATACACCCTGTTCGGGGCTGTCTGGGACTACGATTAGCGTGGCCAGCATATTGCATAGATACGCGACGAGATAGCGCTCCAGGCAACGCGGCTTGCCTTCAAAGTCAACGGTGGCAGCGGGCAGTTCGTTAACCAGCTGCAGCGCAGCCTCAAAGCAAGCGTCCGCTAATAGAAACGAAAGGTTTAGTTTGCATTGAGTTTTCAATAGTTGTAAATAAGCCATACCTTGCCCAAGACATAGATGTCTCAGGGCCAGTTGACCGCACAGTAGATATAAATCCATTTTTTGCTGAACAGAACTAATACTGGGAATGGTTATAAAACAATAGGCAATGCAGGCCTTTACAAAACCCAAAGACTTGACACCTTGTCGATTGGATGACCGCATCGTAAGCTTGCAGGCGGCGTACACTAGGGTTACATAGACTGCATCCAGGTTGCTAAAAGTACCGCGTGCCTCCACATAGAAGCTGAGTTGGTGCTCCAGATCTTTTCCAAAGTGAACTTTATTTATGAAACCATTGATGAGCTGCGAAATCTGACGGCGTTCGTCCTCCACAGTAAGTGCACTGCAAATATATTATATATAAGCATGACTTCTTTAAATGGATATTGCGTTCACTTACTTGACCGAGTCGTTAAGTATCTTGCCGAGATACATTAGTGCATTGGTAACTACAGCATCGTAGGTTCGTTCCTCGCTGTTTTGTCTGTAGTGGCTCAGAATAGACTTGCACATCTCCACACGCACAGACTCCTTATGGAACAAATCCAAATAGGGCAGAAAATGCGGTTGAATAAGCAGCAACTCAATGCTTCGATAGTTTTGCATTATCCTAGTTAGAATGCTTTGCAGCTGGCCGTAATGCTTCTCATAGGCCTTGCCTAGACACATCCGAGAATTCAGTTCACCCAGCAGACGATTTACCTCGTGTATCTGTAAAAGAAATAAAGTATAAATTAACTAACTGTTTATTCAATGATTAATCGAACTAACCGTAAAGTACTGTGCAACGAAAGGCGCCCAGGTTTCCACACAGTTAATGTATTCGTTTGGATCCGTGAGCGTGTTAATAGTTTGAAAGGCAGCGTTCAGAAAGGGAACGCGCTGCTCCTGCAACGGTGCGCAACTGCTGACACAGCTGCCCAGTGGTCGCAGTAGTTGAGACTTTGAAATACCAGGTGTGTCGCAGTTATTGATCAGCTCCAAAAACTCCTGAGCATGTGCCGCAATGAACTCTCCCTTCGAGGAGTTGAGAATGGACAATAGTACTGCTCCGCTAGAGAAACAAATTAGTGAATACGCACAGAGTTATGCGCAGAATTACAGAAAGCTTACTTGTTTTTTAGCTGCTTACACTCGTTGAGCATTTCCTGTGCTGAAACTTCACTTTTATGCATCAGACACTGCAGCATAAAATCCAGAGCTGGTGCATACAGCTGTAAATATGCGCTGGACGTGATTATCTCCGGATGCAAATTGTAGCGGGCCACCAGGCGAAAGATCTGCCGGTATACAGTGTAAAAGAAAATTAAATTGAGGTCAAAGTCGAGTATGACTCACTAACCTGCGGATAAATTGTGAAAAAATCTGTAAAGTTGTCGCGTATGTAGACCTTGCTGGACGTAACCGGAACTCCAACGCGCACCAGGTAACAGCGCGCATAGCTGGAAACCAGCGGATCAGCAATGCCACGTAGCTGACTTGTGAGTCGTAACAGGGATTGCTCCATTTCCTGCTCCGAGGTGGTCAGAAACCCATAGCACTTAAATATAGCCATTTCCAGATAAAGACGCGGCAGCAGCTCACGTATAGAGGCGACTTTGTAGAACCAATTCTGACAGGTGTCGCGTGCAGCTTCGCGCTCTCTTTGTAGGACCACGGCCGATGCGCCTGGTGCACCCGCTGCCTTGGCACGTAAACGCTCGTAAACCAGCTTGCCAAAGACGTCCAAAATATCCGTGATAAGAACATACTGACTGGGATAGAACTGCAGCACTCTAGTGTCCGATAGCATCTTGGCGCACTGAATGGCTATCTTCAGAGCCTTGACGCGCTGATCGTTGTGCCAGGACTGGATCAGTTCCTGTTTAAGCTGATCGAACCGCTGTATGTACTCCTGCTGTGTCAGGTCCATCATGTGACGCATGCTACAAGCATCGAAATTATCCAGCTGCTCTAGCCGATACTTAACCTTATCCGCCACCACAGTCTGGGCCTTGACTATAAAGATAGTATTATTAGTAAATTAAACGTCTTAGTTTATTCCTGGAACAGGATCTTACAGTTTTCACCCCCACTTTCCGTGCTGCTGGTGCATAGAAAGCTGGTGGATAGCGACAGCTTTTCATTGGTCGTGAAGCGATTCAATATGCCCAGGCGGCGTGTGCTCCAATTAAGCGCGTTATCCTCCAGTTCGTTGCTGTGTCCACGCTTAGACTTGAGCGTCTGCAGTGAAATGTTGAATCATATTTTGTTATTAGATGAAGTCATCGCAGTTTACTTACAAATTCGCTGGCCATCTGCGTCAGTGGATCATTTAGTTCCTGCTCCTGGCGCGCAAATTTCGAAAGCGGATCAGTGCCTTCCAGTGCCAACGCCAAGCTGAGGGGATTCTTGTCTGCGACCTGACAAGTAAATTAGTTAAATATTTACAAGGGGCGGAGTTTTGCAGCTGTCTTACCGTGACATTGACAGTCTGCTGCTTAAGCGGATGTTCTTCCGTAACTTTTCTATGTAAATGGTTTTTGACAACTTGATAGCAGCGTGGCGCGCAAGACCTGTATGCAAACGTGTTTATTATAAACAAATAATTGTTTATTTTCGAGATAAACTTACCATTCCAAAGTCGCCATGTCGTGCTTTTCGGCTCTGTTAAGTGCGGTGTAACTCTGTTAATTTAACATTCGATTGTTGACACTCCCAGTGAATGGCAAAACAATATATATGAGAAGTAGTTGGCAACGCAAGACACATCCGCGCATCTTTTTCCACCATTTATCCATAAAAAATTGTTTTGCTTAGAAAAATATGGCAAAAGTACCGAACAAATGGCTAAAAAACACATGCAGAGTGTGCGGCAAATACGCCAGTTTCAAGAAATCTTTCAAAATATTTGATAAAGCCAATAAAAAGCTGCTAGGCAATATAGAAACGCTCACGGGCCTACGGGTAAGCGGGACAAGACTCTGCTTTGGCAATTATCTTATGCATCTAATTTGTTTATTTGCAGCTGGAAAGCTATCTATGCTTACCCGAGCTGATGTGCGAGTGCTGCAACATTGAATTAACAAGTGCCGTCAGGTTTCGGGATCGCTGCATCAGCGCCCAGCGTGAATTACTAGCGGGGCTCACCAAACAGCAGCAGGAGGGCATACCCGAGAAATACAAGGCACTCATAATGGGAAACGAAGCCTTAACGCCGTCAGCAGATGATCAAGAAACCGAAGGTGACTCGGAACCAGAAACCGAAGTGGAGCGAGAAATCGAACCTAGTTACCAGCATGCGGACGATGATGAACTGGTCAAATTGCTACCGGAAAGTAGTGGAACTGTTACGAAAGTCAAATATGAAATTGGCCCTGACATGACGGATTTCATTGAGGCTGACGAGGATGACAATGATTCGTTGGTGGAGGAAACGCAATACGAATGCCTTATGGCAGACGATGACGGGAATATTGTGAAAATTGAGAACATGTCGAATCAACTGATAGTGCCCGATCCCACAGAGGTCTATCTGTATGATTCTGACGACGAGGTGGCCGTTCTGGACAATGTGCTCGATGATGAATATGAGCATGAGAATGCTGTGAAAAAGAGCAGCCTGCCGCCAAAGCCAAAAATTAAGCCCGAAGATCCTCGTCGCAGAGGGGCAGGCGGTGTTTACATTTGCGAGCAATGCGGCAATCACATAAAGGGACGCATGGCATTCGAATTGCATTGCCGTCGGCATCGCGGCGAGAAAGATTTCCAGTGCGAGTAAGTGGTGTCCAATCATACACACAAACAAATAGAAATGAATTACATTTCTTTCTAGAATCTGTGACAAATGCTTTTGCACCACCTCGGAGCTTAAGCGCCACATGCGCAAGCACACCGGAGAGCGCCCCTTTGCCTGCCAGTACTGTGGACGCTGCTTCTCCGACTACACGACGCGCGTCAAGCACGAACGCACCCACACCAACGAGCGCCCCTATGTGTGTGGCACCTGCGGCAAGGCTTTCACCACGGGCTACATTCTTAAAAACCATATGTTAACACATTCCGGCTTGCGCTCTTATAGGTAAAATATGGCAGGTATATCGCCGACGAGGTTTGGCTCTAATAGAATTTCTTGTGCTTTCAGATGCGAGCTCTGCGACAAATCTTTCATGCTTCCCACTCATCTCAGCACACATATGCGAACCGGGGTGCACAAGCGTACTTTGGAAAAGTATCAGATGAAGCAGCAAATGCAGCACGACCCCGCCCTACAGCTCAAATTGGAAATGGATGAGGAGAGTTTGCATATTCAGGATTAATAATAATCATCACCGTTAAATAAGATTACAAAAAACCTATTCTATATTAGATAAAATAAACGAATGTAATTAATGCCTACATTTTATATACCTTAGGAATCTTTGCTTACAACCCATTCTTTTCGAATCCATAGCAATAACTTATGTAAATTATATTGAATTATCTATAAATAAAGCAAACAACTAATTCAGTACTGGAAATTTTTTTCTTTATTTACGAATATAATGTAAAAAAAATTAAACAATTGGTTAACAGCTATAAATCAAACGTTAGTCAACACAGTGCAAGCGATATTACGCGCACACGCGAATGGCAAAAATAACAAAAACAGCTGTACCATCAAACGACGCTGTTTACATATTTATTTATTGAGCTCAACAAAATATTAGTTTTTATTACTGCACGCAATGCTCAAGAATATGTGCAGAGTGTGTGGCAGATATGCAGCCTACAAGAATTCGATAAGACTCTTCGAGGATCAAAACATACTTTGGCGCATTCAAGTCCTTACGGGATTAATTGTAAGTATTATTATTATTTGTGTGTTTTGAGTTGTCAGCTGACACACAAATATGTAAATAAAATTAACGATATTGTTATGCAGTTGGAAAATGCAAAATGCTTGCCGAATCTAATATGCATTTGCTGTCAGACGGAATTACGCGAGGCAATCAGATTTTGCGATAGAGTCGTGGCAGCACAGCAGCAGCTCCTGTCTGCCTTAAGCGAGGAAGAGCTGAAGCATGTATCCAAGGAGTACCGGGTAGCCGTAATGGAATATGCTGGCAACAGTAGCCAAAAATTAATCAATGCCAGGCACTTTGAGTCACAACCGGAAACCGCGGCTGCAAGTGAGCCTGAGCCGGATGAAGAGTTAATAATTAAAGTGCAACAGGATGAAGACGAGATAATTATAGAGGAGCACAGCCAACATGGAGACCTCATAGAGTACGACATAAACATTGATGATGACTTAGTTAGAGAGGTGGATGAAGCTCAGCATGCCCGTACCTTACCGGAAACAATAAAAAATCCACTTGACGAGCACCCAAGTGCACTAGTCAGCGATGCTAACGAAAATTCAGCTACCGAAGACTATATCCTGCCTGACAAGGATTCGGATGAGGAGTGTGCAGTTTTGGACAGAGTGTTAAACGACGAGATTGCCATGCAAAGTGTCGGCAGGAAAAAACGGGGACGAAAACGCGTAGGAAGTCTGATATTTGTCTGTGATGAATGTGGCAATCATATATCTGGACGCATGGCCTTTGAATTGCACTGCAGACGACATCGTGGAGACAAACAGTTCCAATGCGAGTAAGCATGCCAAAAATGTATAAACAACAAATATTACATTGACGTAATGCACTTCCAATTTCTGTCAGCGTGTGCCAGGATCGCTTTTGCACCAGCTCCGAACTAAAACGACATATGCGAAGGCACACCGGGGAACGTCCCTTTGCATGCCAGTACTGTGGACGCTGCTTCACGGACTATAGCACGCGGCTGAAACACGAGAGGACACACACCAATGAGCGCCCGTATGTGTGCACCAGCTGTGGAAAGGCCTTCACCACCGCCTACATACTCAAGAATCACATGCTCATTCATTCCGGCGAGCGAGCTTTCAGGTGGGGTTCCTTATTTATTATACAACTTGCAATTGCTTTAAAATATATTTCTCGCTTACAGTTGCGAGCTGTGCAATAAAACCTTTATACGCCAAACACATTTGGCTACTCATTGTCGGTCCAGCGCACACAGGCGTAATCTAGAGCAGCAAAACCAGGGAATAAAAGTGAAAAGTTAATTGATTTGAATTTTGTATTCATATACATATGTATAATAAGCTCAAACTTTTCAACATGTATCTGCTTTTGTATGTGTAGGGTATAATTAAACAATAATAACCTTCATGAAGTGTACATTTGTGATTTTCCAGACTATATACTAGAGTTTCATTAAAGTTCTGAAATGAATGAGTTTCATTATGCTGCTTATTTCAGCAAATCTACTACTATTTCTAATACACTGAGTTTTTAATTTTTTTTTAATTGTTACTATAATGTCAGAGAAACAGTATAAACAAATTTAAGTTGAACATGTTAAAATTGTTGTGCGATCTTTTTAAAAAGACTATAGTTCGTTTTACAACACTAACACATTAAATGGTTACAGGTTCCGCACACATGTGAATGGTAAACTCAGTAAAAAACAGCTGTTGCTTCATACAAATTTGTTTACCCATTATTTGTGGCGCTCAACCAATTTTTTATTTTGCTTGAATTATATTTATACAAGCGCACAATGCTTAAAAACATGTGCAGAGTTTGTGGCAGATATGCCGCTGTCAAAGAATCGTTAAGAATTTTTGATAATAAAGATGTGCTTTGGAGCATTCAAGTCCTTACGGGCTTAACAGTAAGTAATATATTTAATGTTTATACGCAGTCATTATAAATTATATATCATATATTGTAACGCAGTTGGAAAATGCTAAATGTTTGCCGGACCTAATATGTATTTGCTGCCAAACTGAATTGCGCGAAGCGATCGGGTTCAGCGACAGGGTAATTGCAGCACAGAAACAACTCCTGACGGCGTTAGCTGAGGAAGAGCTGAAGAATGTATCCGAGGAGTATAGGATAGCCGTAATGGAACTGGCTAGCAACAGTTGCGAAAAGCCATTCAACATAAACAACTCTGGACCACTATCAGAGTCAGATGAGGAGTCGATTTTAAAACCGCAACTAGAAGCAGGAGAAATGAATATAGAAAAGCATCGCGGACAGGATGAACTGTTGGAGTACGATATTATAATAGATGATGAGGCAGTCATCGAGGAGGCTGAAGTGCAAGAGATTCGAGCCTTGGAGTCCATGGAAAATCTGACCGATGAACACCAATGCCCAATTGCCAACGAAGCCGGCGATATTGCAACTACCGAAGATTATATCCTGAATGATAAGGCGTGGAATGAAGCGTGTGTGGTATCGAGCCGGGAGTTGAGCAAAGAGATTGCAGCGCCAAAAATTGAAATCAAGAAAAAACGAGCTCGAAAAGGCCTCGGAAATGTAATATTCGTTTGTGATGAGTGTGGCATTCACATATCTGGACGCATGGCCTTTGAACTACACTGCCGGCGACATCGTGGAGACAAGCAGTTCCCATGCGAGTAAGCATGCAAAATACGAATAAGCAGCGACAAGCAAATTAATGTAATATGCGTTTCATTTCTGATAGAGTTTGCCAGGATCGCTTTTGCACCAGCTCCGAGTTGAAGAGTCACATGCGGAGGCACACCGGTGAACGTCCCTTTGCCTGTCAATACTGTGAGCGCAGTTTCGCAGACAACAGTTCCCGGATAAAGCATCAGCGTACACACACAAATGAACGCCCGTATGCGTGCACAAGCTGTGGCAAGGCCTTTACCGCTCCCTACATACTCAAGAATCACATGCTCATTCATTCCGGCGAGCGTGCCTTCAGGTGAGGCTTCGATCACTTGTACGACACGTATTCGCTTAATTAAATGTCCTCCAATTACAGCTGCGAGCCTTGCAACAAAACCTTCAGAAGACATACTCATCTAGTTACACATTTTCGGTCCAGCGCCCACAAGCGTAAACGAGAGCGTCAAAACAAGGAAATAAAGAATACAAGTTAATAGATTCCAAAAGCACGCATATGATTTAAGTAAATTAATTATACAAATTCGCTTGACACTAAATTTTAGGCCAAAAGAACAAGGAAAACCATAACAAAATATATGATATTCTTTTTGTATATAAACGAAATATCAAAGTTGCCTTTGATTAATTCGTTGGGACCGCATATATTTGCACTATCCAAGTAAACTATTTATTTAATTAAATCCGAATTTGCACTTATTACTTGTTCAATATTCCAACAATTTTTAGATTTGTGAATTATTTAACAGCAGCTAACGCTCCAAAGGCACTCCGACTGTAACAACTACCACGCCCTGTGACTCTCCGGTAGATTGGGGCAAGATGATTGCATCCGCCTTCGGTTGTGCCACACATGACTTTTCCACATTCTGTTTGTGAGTATTGGAGCGATAGTGAGTCTTTAGATGAGTTGGCCTTGAAAAAGAGCGTTCGCACAAATCGCACCTGTGAAAAACAAGCATATGATGACTGAAACATATAAATATTATGAATAGTTTTTACTTTGAAACAAGTAGCTTGTATCTTTTTAATACAAAATACAATTATCTCCGATTTTCTGCTCTTCTCAAAACATTACTCAAATTTGCTTTGGATATGCAGGTAATAACTATAGAGGCAGCCATGTCTGCTCGGTTGGTCGGTCACACACAACATGCTACCTTTCTTCATACATAGATATGTACACAGGTATGTATGTACCTACTTCTTTTGAATGGCGAAGAAACCGGTTCTTAAAAACAACATGCATATGTATTTATGTTTGTATATACTCTCGACAAGCCGAAAAGAGCTTTTTCAGTGTCTAGAGTTAGTCCGCGTTTGTTCGACTTGTACGAATTGCAAAAAGCAACAGTTTGAGTTAGCTTTCAGGTGAGGCGACACGATTTCTTTTTGCTTTAATGCATATTTAAAAAACTGCGACAAATATTTGCTATATTTAAGTCATGCAAGTGTCTTAAAACATACAGTTATACATACAAAAAAAAAACTTGTATTGAAAGTAGAGAGTTTTCCAATTAATACACGTCTTAATACATGTTGCTCAAGGTATAGAGACACTGAATCCATTCAAGGTTACGAGTGTTTTTTTTTCTTTCTAATAATTCACTTCGCAACAAGCGAAAATAGCAAATCTTAAACAATATATTGTGTGACGCTTTTTTTTTCAAATCCTAATAGGGTATTATAGTGTACTTTGTATTCCAAATAGGGAATAACATGCAAAGCTGACTCTTTTTGTGTGGGCGAGACTTGAAGTGCTTAGTCAGGTTTCAATATCGATGATATCATAACAAATTTGTGGGCAGGTGAAAGACCTACTTACATATATAACACGCCTATTCAACAATTAGAGGCGGGGTTCAGGGATGAAAAAAGTTAATAATTTAAAAATTGTAATAAATCTGTTTACTTGCAGTTTCTGCTTTTATAATGAAGAGCAATTTACTTGCCATCTTTGTTTTAACCACACTTGTGTGTGGCACGCGGGCTACCCTTGGTGGCAAGGCAGTACTCAAGGAAAAGGATATGATGAGAAAGATTGTATTCGACAAAAAGACACCAGATGTGTTTTATTGTCCAATGCAGAAGCCCTCTTCGATGAACAAAATTATTGTCACGTAAATAGCATTGATATTCCCAATTGTCCGAATACTAATATATATATATATTTACGACTATAAATTGGAATATGTTTAGTGCTCGGCCCCTACACAAGTTGTGCGAATACGAAGGAAACCCATTGCCAGCTGAATATAAATCTGACTGTTATATGGATATTGATGAATCGGATTATGCATGCAAGGAGAAATATAGAATTATGGTAAGCAATTATCCAATTAAGTATGCTCGAATTCCCGATGCTTACAAAACATAACAAACGACAGCGGATGTGTAGGAAACTATATAGGAAACATGATATTCGGGACGCCGAAACATTGTGTTACTTGCTGTTGTCTAAGATTTTGTAATGTAACCTCATTCAAGCTTAAATTTGTTAATAATATTGGGGAAAAACTCCTAATATTTAATCATGTAACTTGACAAGTGAAATACGATATCTAGAGTTATTTACATTTTGCACTTTACACCATCCATTTATTAAGTTCATATAATTGACGAAAATAATTAATTTAAGCTTTCATATTTATGCTACGTTCTTATATATATTGTTGACGTAGCACTTGTACATTTAATTGTTGATTAATTTATACCAAATAAGAGATTCTAATACTGAGTTTTGTTTAATTACAGAAACGATTCGCCAAAGACGAACCCTAATAAAATAATCACAAACAACACAACAAATTTTAACAGCTTATTGTACATTATCATTGCACCATACGCTGGCAGCTTTGAGTAACTGGATAACACGGCTAAATATCACAGTTTTGTTCTGCTGTACTTACCTGCATATATACCTATATAGATACACTACTGATAAACCCATTTACGAAATAACACATATCCCATACAAAAAGGCAAACTTTAACGAGGATTTATATGCGAGTAAATATACTGTTAGTCAGTGGCTTTAACAATTCTATAGTTCAGTACAAAAGCGGCGATATAGTATTTTTCTAAGCTACTAATACAATCAAAAATAATTCTCGATGTCGACCTATAAACTTAGCTAAAGTGGATAAGTTTTTGAATATTTTATCACTAGTTTAATTTTAATAGTAATTAAGAACGAAACGACATGCTAAAAATATGCTTTGGTTTTACAAAACTTAATAATGTTATTGTTTTAAAAACCATATTCTTCATTTTTATCATGTCTTCGTAGTATTTTGAATAGAAACTTGGTTTGGGGTATTTGAGTTATTCGCTTTTGTGTAAGTATATAACCTTTGAGCACCTTATCAAGCACCTAACAAGAAAGAGCAGCACTGTATTTGACTTAAATAATCTAAATGTTTCTATTTCGATTTTATGTGCCTATTCAGATGCGTAAATTTCCCCCAGGCAGCGAAGAGCCGTTCAACGGTGCCCGTCTAAAGCGATTCATGACTTATAACAAGGAGCTCGTCTGAGCCGAGGGTATTATATGCACATGTGAGAGAGCACTATTCATTTTGGGACCTGATTCTAAGCTGGTTTTAAATATCGATCGATTAACTAACAGAAAGAAAATTATAATTTAAGTGAACCGATTAGTTAATAAAGATTGGCTTTTATATACTTGCCTAAACAAACGCTCGCCCGTATGCACCAGATTATGGTTTTTTAATATGTAGGAGTTGGTGAATGCCTTGCCACAGTGTGAACAGACGAAGGGCCGTTCATTGGTGTGGGTCCGCTCGTGACGCAGTCGACCGCTGTAGTTGACGTAGGTTCGATCACAGTAGCGGCATGGAAATTTCCTGTCTCCAGTGTGCATTACTTGATGGCCTTTCAGCTCGCCGGCGGACAGAAATCGCGCTGAGCACTGCCTGCAAACAAGACACGATTACGCATAAACAAGACAGTAGTTCTAGCTTAACTTGACCATCTTACTCGCACTGGAAGGGCCTTATGCCGCTGTGTTTGCGCAGATGTCGATCAAAGGCGGACTTGCCCGTGACGTTGTTGCCGCACTGATCACAGAAGAAGACGGGTAGCTTTTGCTTGGCGCGCGGCTGCTTTGAGGCGGTGCATTTTGGCAATTGTCGACGAAGTTTTGTCTCCATTGGTGACACATGGTTCTCATCTTCCAACGAGGATACATTTGTTGTGTCATCGTTGCCATTGCAGGTTTCCGTGTCCAAATGATCGATACCATCATCTTCATCAACTTCATTATTTGGCTGTTCGACTTTGATGAGCACTTCAATGGGACTCAATGGCGCTTCCTCAACCTCGTTTTCGCTTGCACAACGTACACGGGTGCGTGCACTACGACGTACACAAATTACATGAGTGGACGCAGGACCAGTTGCATCAGGATTGGGGGCTCCATTGTACTTTTGGGTCCATCTCTTTTGGTTGCGCAGGCAACGCTTGCGAAAGTTTATGGCACAGTCCAAATCATTCAGACAGATTTTGCATATAACCTCTGGCAAATTGGGTTTGACCTCCAACTTCACAGTTGGTTTAACAAATTGTTTATAATTTAATCAACGATTAGACTTTGCACTGACTTACAAAAACGCCGGTAAGTAGCTTTATTTGTCGCAAAAGTTGACGTGCGCTCTTCTCAAATAGATTTATTGCCTTACTGGCATCAGTGTCGACTGCACAGATGCGACAAATATTTTGCAGCATATCTCGCAGAGAACTTAAATTTCACTTCAATCAATTGCAAATGTAAACAAAGCAGCTGTCCCACACCCACACTAGCCATTTGCCATTCACCCGGAAGCGTCAACAGGTTGTTGTCGTAATACAGCACTGGCCCGAAAGTAAAACTTCAAATTGCAGGTATTCCCGCTATTCTATATGTAATTATATTTCCTAGCCTTTCCCTAGCCCAGAATAAATGTATACAGTAAATTCGCTTTATAAGTTTTCAACTGATTCTGCCTGTGCGTCTTCATGCTTCTCTACGTTCTGCTTGTGCATATTTGAGCGGTAATGCGTTCTAAGATGAGTCTTGCGCTGAAATGATCGTTGACAGATATCACATCTGACGATTCAATTAGAAAATTAGATTTTAGCCCACTGACACAATCAACTCAATTACTTGCCTAAACATGCGCTCGCCCGTATGTACCAGCATATGGTTCTTCAGTATATAAGCATTGGTAAACGCCTTGCCGCACTCCGCGCAAACAAACGGCCGATCATTGGTATGTATACGCTCATGCTTGAGCCTTCCCGTATAACTCACATAACGGCGATCACAGTATCGACATGGAAACGGTCGCTCTCCTGTGTGTGTGAGGCCATGGGCGCGCAGCTCGGCAGCGGATAAAAATCGCGCCGTGCACGCTCTACAAAATGTAATTGAATACTTGAAAATTTATGCAATGATATGCATATATTCACAAAATCGAAATCTTACTCGCAGCCAAAGGGACGCTCCCCCGTATGCTTCCGTATGTGGCGATCAAATGATACCTTGCTATTTACATGCGTTCCACACAGCTCGCAGATGTAGATGGCCACTTCTTGCTTGGCTTTCAAAAGTTTTTTACAGCCGTTTGTGGTATTTATTGACGGCTTGGGAAGTTCGTATTTATCGCTAATGTCATTTACTTCACTACTGATATGCTCACTGTCGTCGGTATCGATGTCTGTGCTGGCCTTCATGATGTAGTTGAGGTCCAAATGATCATGCTCCTCAGCTAAATCTGTGGAGCCCAAATTGTTGCTAGATTTACATTCTTTGAGCATAACTTGTACTGTTTGCTGTGGCTCTTCCTCCGATTCGCTGTCTATATATGTGCTGACGACAGTGCAGTCGGTCTGGCGAATCGTTGGCCCAGGACTTGGACTTTCCGGCTCCGCACTAAGGTTGGAGTTGTCGCTGACTTCGACATGCGGCTGCCATTTCTTTTGGGTCTTAATGCAGAGCCTGCGAAACGACATGGCTTGCTTGAGGTCCGATTGACAGCAGAAACATATGGACACCGGAGCATCTGGCGAATCCCGCAGCTACATTTGATGGCCGAGGATTATTTAAATAAAATTCATTCCTTCTTGACTTGACTTACCCACAAGCCAGTCAACATTTGAATATGCCGCACTAACTTCCGGTTTTTTGTTTCGAAAAGATTCAAGCTTTTTTCGCTTGAATTGCTTTTTCCGCAGACGCGGCACATTTTCACCAGCATGCTGAGCATGCATTACACTTTGTTGTAATGGGAATTTAAAGAAATGCATTTGCATATAAAAATGTCAGCTGCGTTGACAGTCACACATAAGCGCCGACACACCCACACACAAACAGTTGGTCCCTAACGTTTGTAACGGTTATTCGTTTGAATTCAAATTTTTACCGCCAATGCTTTGTACTGTTGGTCACTTGTGTAAGAAAGTTTTATGTTATAAATATTAAAGAAACTAGTCATACTGACTGCATAGAACACCGGTATAGTGTGTATATTTGAGTTTGTTTTTAATGCAATGCTTGAAAGACAATTGAAATTTTGGGAAATATGACTAGAAATTTGGCTGGGAACAGATGGTGGCTCACTTATGCCTGGGAGCTGTTGTTGTCCTCGTACGATTTGATTTGATTATGCTTCAATTGTAAATCCTTGTGGAATAGTATCTCATGGCGCAAAGCATCCGCCCGCTCACGCACAATCTTTAAATCCAACAACTCCAAACGGCGTTTCTCGATCTGAACACGAACACGATGCAGCTCCAGTTGCCTCTGTCGTAATGTTGGCAAAGCGCTGTTGGTGCTTCCACTCGATGTGGTCTTTGTCCCATTACCCTTTGTATTGCCTGCACTAGAAGTCGCTGCTGTTTTGGTACGACGCTTGGTCTTTGAGATGCCGTTCTTGGTCTCGATATGACTGAAAAATGACGTGCTTGCGGGCAGAGCTGTCATGTGCATAGCAGTGGCTATTTTGCTAGATTTCGACGATTTCAGCAGAGGAATCCGCAACTCTATGGAGCCAGAGCAACACGAGTCGCTGTCATCGGGTATACACATGCGGTTGGCAAACTTGGGCGCAACCTCGCGCACTACAGCCGTCTGATAGGGCGGGAAGAAGCACGTCTCTAATTTCAGGTCTGCAGTAGCGAGCTTGGGCTTAGGCGAGTTTGTCGATCTAGGTGTCGACCGCGAGTCCACAAGTAGATCCTTGCTGCGTCGATTCTTAAGAGATTCGTGCGATGGCTTGTAGCGCATCGCCAGGGAAGGAGATGCCTCGATGTCCATCTTCCTGTTACGTATCTTATCAAACAGATGATGCCAGCATCCAATTGCGCGAGCTCTCTTTGTGCTGGCCAGCTCCTGGACCGATTCGTGCGATGGCTTGTAGCGCAAGGCCAGACTAGTTGATGACCTGGTTGCCGCGTCCTTCACAGTTTTTGGTTCCTTTATTAGTAGCAGATATTTACCATCGGAGGAAGCCAACGTTTGTGACTTGCTGGTACTCGGCAGCTCATGCTCGGAATTAGAGCTAGACGGGTTATTTGACTGATGGGCCGGCGACAAGCTTCTATAGTTTACAACGGAATCGTAGACTTCCTCCTCTCCGTCGCATACCTTCCACATCACGCGACGGCTGCTGCTCGACTGGGACTGCGTTGGACCAACATTCTCCACTAGACGGGTGTTAAACGTAAATTGCTCATCTGAGAAAAAAATCTATGGAGCTCAGCGCTTACCAGACTTCTGATTTTTATCCATAGCTAACTTGTGCTACTTGATGTTCGGTTGAAATGAGAGCCCCTGAAAATCTGAAAAAAATGTATGTGTATCGTGTTTTTTTTTTTTTTTTAGAAAACTGAATAAAGTCTTGATTGAGTAAACTCAATGTTCGCCAAAAAAAAAAGTATTAAATTAACAGAGCCTACTATCCATACATGCATTCAGGATTACCTGAAAACCATAAACATCTGTTTTCTTGTTCTTTAATTGGTAATTTTCATCAAGTGTATATAATTTGTCATAAAATGTGTTTTGTTTTTAATTTCCTTTCGTTATAACTAAATTGTGTTATATCCTTTGGTTGTTCGACTATCGCATTTTAAAAATTGTGTTAACATTTTGCATTTTAACAGAAATTATATATATATATATAAGTATTATACAATTAAAGTTGCCAACATAGGATTAGTTTAGGTGTGTCTTATTACATTTAAATGGTTTTGATTTAATGGGTTCGCGATGCACCAATAAATAGCATGAGATTTCGTTCTGACTAGAAGGAGTTAATCGTGAAGCAACCACAAAGTTGACCCAACGATCTTAAGAAACAGATTGACTAGCATTTGGTGTGCACACTTTTATGAGATGCAATGTGTTTAAATGGATTTCGAGGGTGGGGATACATTTTGTAAATTGTTGTTAAGTGACTCATCTAAGTTTCAATTCTCAACTACTTAAACATTGATTTACACTGGTTTTCACTAGATTTTTATAAAGTAGTTCTTTAAAGTACACACATTGCCTTTTGAACTTGCCGTGGGCCAGTTTTGAAATTTTCTATTTTAATTGTATTTGTTACGGTTTTACTTGAAGTATTAACTATTTTTTGTATTATTGTTGGGTAAACTTGTTGCAGAATTTACACGGTTTTCTTTTTCTTCACTAGGCAATAACATGTTTTCCATTGGGATTTTTGTTTTGTTTTAATTATTTACTAATATGCCTAAGGGCTCGAGTTTTTTTTTTTTATTTATGTAATTTTTACATATTAAATTTGAATTCTCCTGGGCGTATGGTCACATTTCTTATGTGTACAAAAAACATTGTCTTACAAATGTGAAAATTAATCAAGTTCGAGCTTTTTGGCTGTCTTGTTGTATTGGTTCCAATTGATGCTTAAATGTTAACAATTATTCTCGTATATAAAACCGTTTTAAGTAAATGTATATGTATATATATACACATATATGTATGCTATCATCAACCTTACTATACACAAGTAGAGATGTATATACTATATGCTATATGTTATATATGTATATGTATATATGTTGGCTTGCGGACCATCTCATTTCTCATGTCTCATAATTCAATTCATCTGTTTGTATATTGCTAATCTGTGTTACTTGTTTTTTTGTTAAGTACATATATATGCAGTACTGTGTAAATGTCTCGTCTTGCGGCTGTTGCTTGTATGTTACTAATCATAAGTTACTGGACGACACATTGAAAATACGAAGACTATGGCGTACCACACCTCGGTCAGGTAGAGTGCGATCTGCAGCGTACAAAGGCAGTATTCCAGACGCAGCCTGTAGGTCTGCAGCAGCAGCAGATACGAGACGCCCAGAAAGCAAGGGGCGGTCAGAAAGACCGACAGTATGGCAGACCAGCCTGCAGATAAAAAAGCGAAACATTAGTCAAAACAAAAACAACATTGATAACAACTATAAATAGACAATGTGCCAAATTGAAAGAAAAAACAAAAACTATGCCAATCTAAACGGCCGCCAATGACGCCTACCTCGCTCGGCCAGCGTCCCCTTGCGCCCCATTATTAAACGAAACGTCTCCACCACAATAAAGCTTATCATCACCGCCGAGTCCTGAGCGAGCGTGTGACCCGTATAGCTCAGATTGATTGCCTTCAGCAATCCCATGGCCATTTCGCAGCAGGCGAACATGCCAAAGTAGAAGCTGTTCAAGTAGATTAGCACCTCATAGTTCATGCTGGGATTCGGCTTCTTTGGCACCAACGGCGGCGGACGCTTTGGCGGCATTTTAACTAACTAGATTACGCTGATCCTCTCCCTAACACGCGCTACCACGTATCAACTAAATTCACTGTTTCGCTGGGATCCCGACAGCGATCGCGTCGACGCGCTCAACGTTGCTCACGTTGGGCGCTATATTTTTAGACTGAACATAATAATAATGTAGAACTGATGTGTCGCGGCCATTGGCTCAGTTGCGGCCGTTTGCTGCTGTTGTCGCCGCTCATTTTGTTGTTATTTATTTGAATTATTATGTGCTGGTCGTTGTCGCCTTTGGGTACTTAAAATCTGTTTCTTAGTTGTGTTTAGCTGCATTTTGGCTAGGGCTGCCCAATGAATGACCTGCTCCTAGACGACAGAATTAGCAAACTAAAACAAATCAAATGTAAAAACTAACTTAAAGCTTAATTGCATATAAAATGAAATTATAATTAACAAATGTAAGGAGATAATTAGACTAAATCTAATCACTGACTCTGCGAAATGCTAAAACAATAAAACTCTAGTTGGAATTCTTAAAACGAAACAAGTTCGTGTGTAATTGGTAACTTGTAGTCAATGCACCTTCGGTAATATAATTTAAAAATCTCTTTTCGATGAATTCAAACATATTCTAAAAATCGCTTTTTAATTCGTTTAAGTCTATATTCACTATATTGCATGTAATATTTAATGAAATGAAATCTGAATATTTCTGTAGAGAGTTCCTTTGGGGATTGATTGTGTCCAACGAGTCTAGCTGGCCTAATCTAAGTAGCCGTCTCCCGGTTGGCTATGTATATACTATTACACTTGAATTAGAAGTGTGTATTGCACCTATAATGAGCAGCGACAACGATGCCAGCCGGCAGAGACGACTACTTATACTTATGTGGAGAGTGCACTCGTATATGTATATAATTTTAGATCATTATAAGCGTATAAAAATACACCAACAACGAGCGAGTCCGAGTCAATGCGCCAGGCGACAAAGGCCGGACAAAAGAATGCGCTCCGAATTCAAATCAAATGCCGCTTTTGATCGAAACGGACGAGTCGAGTCGAGTCGCGTTGCGTTGCGTTGTGTTGCGTTGCGTCGCGATATGTTGCCCAACACGTAATAAACCTTATATAAGATATGGGTTTATTATACAAACCTCGTTAGTAAAGCGTTTGCTCGGTTCCCTTATCGGTTTTATGTGGTTGGCATTGTTTCTTTGTTCGGTATTTGATGCTACGAGAACTGACTGCAGGAATACGCCAGCGTATTTGTGTTTGTTCATTGTTAATAATATCTTGTCTTGCATAGACCTCTTCTATATGAAGTGTTGATCCTTAAAGTCGTTGGTGTGTGTGCGTGTGTGCTTTAGTGGCTTACATCCTACATCCAAATCGCTCAACGTAAACGTAAACTGCTTCACGTAATTATACCAAATGATGCGTTGTCGTCGTCGTTCTGTTCCATCTACAGCTCCAGCTCCAGCTGCAGCTGCTAGTCCCGCAACTGGATCAAGCA